AGCCTAACTTAAAAATCATGACTGTTCTTCATTTGTGTAACAGTCATTCCACAGAATTTTCTGTCATAAGGACTATTTGGATTAACTTTCCTGGTTTTTAATAACACACTTGTATGTCAATAAAGCAATTGGCATTCTATTTAATGAATGTTAAATACATGAGTTTTCATAGATCTATAAGCTGGAGATTCTAACTAAATATACTGCATCTTTATGACTGTGCGGTACTTACGTGGTTTGGAAAGTCAGACTTCAGTTCAGCAATACTTTTACACCAATATGCTGCTGTTTTCTCACTGATCAGTTCAATGTTCAGAAAAGAGCCTTGGCCTGGGCCGTACATAGGACCTGAAGTAATTCCACGCACAATCCTCGGAGAAACATTGGTGACAATATCCTGCAAAACAGTGAAGCCTTTCAGATTGACTCTCTAAAGTGAGGCAATGATGTCTATCATATAATGTAAACTTAAACATACGAGGTGTTTATAAACTGTACTCTTACCACGAATAAAACCTACAATTGTAGGTCAGTTCTCTCAGTTAGCAGATTCTCTGATAAGATTCTCTACATCAGAAAAGTGTTTGCTGTGTGTGTGAAATGGTACGATAACTATCAAGAAAATGGCAATATGGGGCACCTATAAACCACCATACAAAACATCATTTAAATTATGCTTTTGTGTTGAGTAGAGGGCGTACAAGACTTTGTGTAAAAACTTATGTAGGTCTCAGTCATGTAACAGCATACATGTGAACTATCCTCCCCAAAGATGACCAAAGTCCATGTTCTAAGCTAAGAGGTGAAGAGCAAAGAGGTGCCGCCCACCAGCCTCTCCAATGAAAAGTCAGGGTCATGGGTCCATTCACCAGCAAAAGCATACCAGTGTACCAAACTTCACAAACAAAATGATACGACTAAGAGAGATCAATATCTAAAAATAAAACCAAAAATACTGAAAATTAAGATCAATATTGTAAAGCATGACATTTCTGAAGGTCAACATGAGGTTAGCAAACAATTTTGAAACATACAATAAACACACAAAATGTTGACTTGTGTAGTAGTCTTAATTAAGCTGCAATGTCACCATATCTATATTAACAAAGAACTGTAAATTCTGACATTATTTAAAATTAAAGAGAAACATAGATGGCAAAATGTTCCTTTTGCCAATTTCCAATTAAAAATAATTTTGAGTAAGGGTCATTTATTTACAAACGTATCAGAATTATTTGTTCAAGTACCCCTCCTCACCATCTTGTCATTTTTAGTGAGATAACATGAACCTCCATTAGTATATAGCAATTAAGGTCAATTTACATATTTTAATTAAGAATCATCCCATATAAAACAATTAGGGTAATAGGCATACTAACCGGATTTCATAACATTTGGACGTTTTTCCAACTAGATAGACAGGAAACCTTAATTAGCATTAATTAGCACTGATCTGCATATGTTTGATAAGGCATACCCTTGCCACAAAAGATTATTTATTCCTGAATCTGCCAAATGCTGCAGCGAGAGAGGATAAAGGGACTTTTCTTCACATTGTATGTAAATTTGAGGTAATCTTCATTTGCTTATAAAATTGAATTATTTATTATACAGTAAACACGTACTAATATTTTATACTGATAGATAATTATATGTCCATTTACATATGTAGGAATCATACAAAGTAATCTCCCAGTTCATCTGTTTTCAGGGCTAATATGTCTGAAACATGGACATCATAATAATTCCTAATTTTCCCTTCACCACAAAAGTTCCACCTCCCCCTCAACAGTTAAGTTTTATCTTCAGAAAAAAATAATTCTGAACATTTTCTGAACTTATGCAAATCAAAACCAAACCGCAAAGTACACTCCCCTCACTCCCAAAACAAATTAGAAAAATTGCAGTTTATGCAGAAGAACCATTTACATCAGTTGCTCCACATTATCCTCTTGAGCGTTTCACTCCTTTTAAATTGCCTCAGAGGAGGCTTGTGCTTTGACTTCACCCCAGAAAGCTATTGATATATACAGGCCAGTACTATCACATCATCCAGCATGATAAAACATGCAAAGTCAGTGACTTAAATGCTGGCAATATGACCTTACCCCTGCGAGCACAGGGTGCATGTGGTCATTTGCCAACAGATACAAGTTACTTTTACCATGCTGCAAGCGACCACGAGCTTCCTTTTTGCATGCTCCAAACCAGTCAGAAGCTGTGTAGCTGCAGTTGTATGGCACTCAGCCTGAGCTAACAGCCTGTCTGTTGGTGGGAATTATTATTCTTGGGTTCAGTGCAAATTATAAGATAAGATGCACGTGGTGTGATTTCCATTTTGTGGCTGGCTTGTGCACGTGCATACGTCAGACAATGCTTGGAGCCACCTACGGTATCGTTTGTTATCCTACTGTGTGGGGGTGGTGGTGGGGTTCTTTCAGTCTCTCATTTTACTACAGTTAACAATTCAAAGACTGAGATGTTACAGCCTAGATCATACCTCTTGTGGGACACTCACAAGCCTCAGTCTGCTTCCATAAGAAAACACTCTGAAGTTTTTGTATCTGCGTTGGGTCTCCAGGCAATCTAAGAACAGAGACCCCTGTTTAGACCCTGCGACTGCTGCCGAATCTCCATGGCTTCAACTCATTCCTTCCCAGAGCTCAGTCATAGCCAACATCTGAGTGGCAATTTATTTCTCCAGGATTCTACAGTCGAATCAGGTAACACGCAGACTTTGCAAACTATCTCAAAAGCAGCCACTCTTCACTTTAATGACCACAAGAGATACACAGAGACACATGAAACAGTAAACACATCTCTGCCTATGTTTCCTCATTCTTAAATTTTCCTTGAGATTTTGAGAGATGCCTTTTGGTGCTTAGGGACCTTCTTGTCCCATCCTCCACCAGTAGCCAGTCGCTCTTTCGAATTGTTGCTTCCACTGCCTCCTTACTGCCTCTGTGTCACTCGACCCCTCTGCTGTGTCCATAAAACACTTTATTTTTCCTGACCAAACTGCTTCTGCTTCCAAAAATCCTTCCCCACTTTGAAATCCAAACATTACCACGTGGCTGCTTTGTCTTGGCTCCTCCTGAGAGGGATACGCTGTCCTTATTTAAGATCCCGCTCCTTGTTTGCCTCTCCTAGCTCAGAGTAAGCTACATGGAGAGAGTCTGTAATGACTGACACGCTGGCACCTCTCCTGTCTCTTGTTAGCACATGACAGCCCCAGACACAAGGAGACTCGCAGTTCATGGAAACAAAATGGAATTTATAACTTAGGTGATGATTCAAGGAACCTGTCTATGTACATACAGAATAAAATCACACAAGTGACAGGAACGAAAATTGTCTCTCTGAAAGGAGCATGAAATACCTACACAAAACTTGCCTTACCATCGTCTTCCTCTTCAGTCTCCTGCCACAGCTACAAAAGCTAAACAGGGAGAGAACTAGGCAAAGGATCTATTGGCTGGGCTTAGCCAACTTAATGTCTTTTGGTCTTAGGAGTGAATTTGATATAGTATCACAAGTTCTTTCACCAAGATGGGCAATTCTGGTGGCTGACCAATTGTCACTGCTGTGTCCAAAACAGCACGTAAGGTCAGAGCAGTTGAAAGAGCCATAGTGCTCCAGCCCGCAGGGTTTGTGACAGACCATCTTCTGGTGTTTTAATCAAATACTGATTTTCCCTGTTTGTAGGAATCGTGTGCCCAAATGTTGGCACTGATTATTCCTTTTCTTTTTTGAAACCCCAGCTTTTCCTTTTATCCCAGCTATGCACACAACCCTTTTATTGTTGATAAAAATTTTTGCCTGCGTAAAAAGCCACAATGGAACTGGAGCAAGAAGTCTGACAGGAGGCACTTCAACGTTTGATTCTAACAACATTTTTCATTCTAAAAAAAGCTGACTGCTACAGAGGGATAATCTGACTGATGAGATGGTCTGGTCCCCACATGCAGCTGAAAGTAGAAGTCCGCATACAGGAACAGGAGAACGTCCCCAGACTCCAAATTGAATCAAGTACCTTACCTCCCCATGCGATGGAAGCAATAACCAGTCCTTGGGAAAAATAGCACAAAGCTTTCATGTACTCTGAAGACTGAGGATAGAAGACTTTTAATAAAGAGTAACTAGGGGAGAACAAAGCTTACATGTGACCACACTAAAAGACAAAGCTATGATAAAAATGACTAAAAAAATCATTGGCAAAGGTAAACAGAATAGTCCACAGAAAATTAATTTGCTTTGTGGGGAAACCTTGCAAATTAACTCAGATCTGGGGATTAAGAAAACCATATTCAGTATTAGATTACAGCAAAATGAAGTTCAACAAGGCCAAGTGCAAGGTCCTGCACGTGGGTTGGGGCAATCCCAAGCACAGGTACAGGCTGGGTGGAGAATGGATTGAGAGCAGCCCTGAGGAAAAGGACTTGGTAGTGCTGGTGGATGAGAAGCTCAACACGAGCCGGCAATGTGCACTGGTAGCCCAGAAAGCAATTTGTATCCTGGGCTGTTTCAAAAGAAGTGTGGCCAGCAGGTCGAGGGAGGTGATTCTGCCCCTCTACTTAGCTCTCGTGAGACCCCACTGAGAACACTGTGTTCAGCTCTGGAGTACCCAGCACAAGAAGGACATGGAACTACTGGAGTGAGTGCAGAGGAGGGCCACGAAGATGATCCGAGGGCTGGAACACCTCTGCTACGAAGACAGGCTGAGAGAGTTGGGGCTGTTCAGCCTGGAGAAGAGAAGGCTCCGGGGTGATCTTATAGCAGCTTTCCAGTACCTAAAGGGGGCCTACAGGAAAGCTGGAGAGGGACTTTTTACAAGGGCGTGTAGTGATAGGACAAGGGGCAATGGATTTAAACTGAAAGAGGGCAGATTTAGGTTAGATATAAGAAAGAAATTCTTTACATTGAGGACGGTGAGGTACTGGAACAGGTTGCCCAGAGAAGTTGTGAATGCCTCATCCCTGTCAGTGTTCAAGGCCAGGTTGGATGAGGCTTTGGGCAACCTGGTGTAGTGGAGGATTTCTCTGCCCATGGCAGGGGGGTTGGAACTAGATAATCTTTAAGGTCCCTTCCAACCCTAACCATTCTATGATTCTATAAAATAACTTGGTTTGGGGGAGTTAATGCAAACACAGAGAAAAAGTGACAACAAATGGAATCAAGGGCCAACTGTGAATCATGAATATTTCAGTTACTGAATTTCTTCTTTTGCCTCATGAGCTGATTCTTTTCCCCAGGAGAGCAGAGCAGAAACAGTAATATCAATCTCTCAAATATATCTAGCTCAGGACATTGCCTAACAAAGTGGTGTTACACAGATAAAAGCACCAATATCCTGCTGCTTTTGGATTCCTCCTTTCTGCTTATGAACAATTCTGGTAT